TCATTTGTAATCGGTTTAATGTGGTTTCATTCTTAATCCTGTGGTGGGTGGGCAGTGGGTTCCTGAAGCTAGGGCTGATACTCTCGCATAGCACAGTATACTGCCAGGTGTCAGCTGCTGTGGTGGATGGCACGTTGTGATTTACTGATAGATTATTGATAGCTCACCCTTGTAAAGCATGTCACAGTCTGTAGGTGCAGCTGCATAGGGTATAGTTCATTGGCTCGGCTCTCAGCTGGCGGGTCTGGGCCATCTTCTGCAGCGGTGCGGCCGAGCTGGCGCCGCGGTGTGGGCAGTGCCCTGGACTTGAGTGTTGGCTTTTCGGGCCTGTGTCCTTGCCGTGCTGTCTTGGGGGCAGCCCTCCTGGGTCTCCTTAAATAGTCACAGGAAGTGGTTCTTTTTTTAAAGATTTATTTATTTATTTATGCATATAAGAACTGGGGTGTAGGTCAGAGGTGCGGGGGAGGGGGTGAGAGGACTCACCAGAGAGAGTGGGGAGCAGAACAGGTGGACTGACTGAAATACACTGCTGAGGGCAGCAGCCAGGAGACAGGAGAGGTCTGCTGCGCCATGTGGTCAGCTCACTGCCTGAGGATCGAACTCGTATCGCAGTGGCTGGTGATGGTTCTTAAGTGAGGTTTGAACCCTAGACATGACAGAAATTTTAGTATTTTATTCAAATGGGTTTCGATAAGTAGAGTGCGGTGTAAGTCTATTTTGAATATTCATTCCGTCAAGCATGAGTAAAAATGTTTCTTGTGAGTTTAAAAATCTTTACCAGAAAAATTATTCACACTTCCATGGTGATCTTACTCAGTCTCATGGTTGACAAAACTACATTTTTTTCTTCAGCCTTAAGCTCCGCCTACTTAAACTCTGTGGTTTTCTAGCGTAACATGATTGTACCTGAGCTCCTGATCTTACCCCCCACATTCAGATGCTGGCACACTCATCGGGCTATGCTCTTGCCAGAATCCCGGCTTCACTCCCAACTTTCTCCCTCTCACGTTCACCTCTCAAATTCCCACTTTGCCATCACATCCTCTTTGACTCTTACTTAATTGAAAGACACAGGAAACAAGGTGACGACTCCGCCTCTCTACTGCTGCACTCCAGGCCCTGCAAACTGCCCCGGCCACTTCCCTGGTCACTGCGGTAAGCCTCCTGGCCCTCAGCGTGCCCCATGCGTCCCTCCCTGCATCCCTTGTGCCCCATGCGTCCCTCCCTGCATCCCTTCAGGGATTTGCGTGAGGTGTGATCGTAAACAGACGTCAGAGCATGCCTTTCTCTGCCACTCAGATCCCGGCAGAGCTGCTGTCTTGCTCTGCAGTAAAAGCACATGCTTGCTCTGGCCACACGGCCTGGTGTTTTCCGGCCCCTTCTCTCTGTCCCCATTTCCTCCCACCCTCCCTCTTCCTCGTGCCTGCAGCCCCCTGGACTGTGCCTGACGCGGTTACTTCTGGACATTTGTGCTGCTTTTGCCCTTTGCTGGACCAGCCTCCCTCATGTGACCTTCCAGCTCCTGCTCCAGCCCTGACCCTCAGTGATGCCTTCTCTGACCATTGTTTAAAACTGCAGCCCCCCACACTCCCCGTCCCCATTGAGCTCCCATTTAAGATCTTTTTTTTTTAAAGATTTATTTATTTATTGATTTATTTATTTACTTACTTACTGGTACAAGCACTGGGTAGTGTCAGATGTGTGGGAGGGTGAGAGAATTCACCAGAGCCAGATCAGGGAACAGAGCGGGCAGACTGATGAAATACACTGCTGAGGGGAGCAGCGGGCGTGGCAGGAGAGGTCTGTGCACCATGTGGGACCCTCACTGGTGGCCGGGGATTGAACCGGCTCTGCAGAAGCTGGGGGCAGCTTCTTACAGACACAAATATTATCCTTTTGTTTATGGTCTTTCCCACTCCCTAGGACCTCAGCTCCCTGCGGGCAGGGAATTATGCAAGTGATTCTCTGCTGTCTTCCTTGAACCCACCAGTAACAGCACACAGTAGGCATCCATTAGGCCTTTGTGCAATGAATAGATAAATGCAATGTTGAATGTGTAGTATGTTGTGGGATAGATTTTTCTTTCTTTGTTATCTGTCTTATCATGTTTCCTGCTTTTAACTAGGTTGAGCAGTGGTTGACAGACACTTTGAATATTGTTGTCTTCCTTCCTGGAGGGGAAAAATGATATTTGGAAGGAGAGGGTATAGTGAGTGTTTCCTTAATCTGTCTGTGCAAATCATCAGCATGAATACATGTAGGAAGAGTTGGCACCTGGAGAGCTGTTGACACTGGCATCACAGAGGACAGCTGGCAGCAGGTTATGCAGGTCATGTGGGGTTTGCCTTTGCAAGAACTACTTTAGAATCATTGGTGGTGTGGCCTCCTGTAGATGATGTCTGTAAAGTGGGGTGGTGACTTCTGTCTGGTTCACTTCACTACGTTATGGAGAGAGAAAATGGAACGAGGTCGTCACAGGTACCTTCTTTGTAAACTCATCGTAAAGACACGGTTGCCCTGTCTGTTTTGCAGATCATTTCTAGCAAATTGAAGTGTCAGGTCCCCTTCTCAGCACTCTCTGCTAACTCCCTGGGTCCTTTTCTCAAATGTCACATTATTGTATGTTGCTCATTGTGTAATGAGACTCAGAAAATTATGTTTAGTAGGGTAAATGTGGAGAAAATAAATGCGTCCCCATCCAGCTATATTTTATTTTATATTTATTTTATTACTTTATTTTATTTTTAAAGATTATTTATGCATACAAGAGCTGGGGTACAAGCCAGAGACGTGGGGGATGAGAGGATTCACCAGAGACAGAGTGGGGAACAGAACAGGGGGACTGACTGAAGTACACTGCTGAAGGGAGCAGCGGGCAAGACAGGAGAGGTCTGCTGTGCCGTGTGGGTTGCTCCCTGGCTGGCCAGGGATTGAACTTGTGCTGCAGAGGCTGCGGATTGCTTCATAGTGTGGTGCTTAACCCTTTGCGCCACCAGGGAGGCCCCAGCTATATTTTAGAGCCAAAGGTAAATGGCATTTGGATTGATTTTTGCTTTGGTTTATCCATGTTCTTAATTATCTGAAAGTTCCAGAAACACACACACCCACACACGATTTCATCTTGTGGATGGTTTCTTGTGGATGAATTTTTTCTTTTTTTTTTGTAGAAACAACTATTTCTTTATGTGAGTAGAAAAGAAGGTATGATTTTATATGGAGTAGTGGTGAATGTGCACGTGGGTGGTTTTTTCCATTTGAATGCAGTTTTTTGGGGAGCACTTGTCTTATTAACCCTAGAGAGATTATCTTTTTCTTAAATTTATCCAGAAGTCCTGAATTGCCTCTAAGAGGTTTTCAGCCGCAACTCCTTGTTCTCCCAGTAGAACTTCATATGTTTTCAGAGTCAAAGAGGAATGTTTTAACCACTGTTAGCTGATAGTTTTCCTTCTTGCATGATTGGTTGGTTCATGTTCTCAACTTAAACCCAGTGGGAAAGTAATATGTCTGTGTATTTTCAGTTGCCAACACTGGTGGTCTGCAGGGACTTGCAGTTTATTAGTGTCTGTTTAGCAGGTGATTCATCTAGGCAGAACTTTTACTGGTACTATAATAATTTTTCAATTTCTTGATATATATTTAAAAAATGGAATTCCTACTTGAAAGCTTATTTGCTATGTAGAAGGAAGTAACCTGGGTTTGTGCCACATGCTTTTACTCATCCGACTTTGTTTGTAAACTGTGTTATTACCCCGTCATCAGCCTCTCTCCCAAAGGTTGCGTCAATATCCTTCTCCCCTCTGCCCCCCAAATGCCTAAGGATACAGAACATGCTTACTGGGAGGTCTTTTCTGGTATCAGGTTTAACCTAAGAACTTTGGCAAGAGTATCTAATAATTTTTATGGTCTTGGCATGACCAAAGAGAATCTTTTCTGCATTTGAGGCATAGAATCGCAACAGCATGCCATTTGTTGTTGTCTAAGTAGAGAGGACCAGTCTGTTGTTGGCATATATCACTTCCTTTCTGGCCTTACTGCATGAAATACAGATGGTTCTCACATGGGGCTGTTGCCTCCTGTTTCTGCACTAGACCATCGAGGGCAAGGACCATGGCTTTTCCTCTTACCGTGTCTTTAGCTCCAAACACCTGCCGCAAATTGTTTGGTAAAGATTGTTGAACAAATGAGATGAGCTGTTGAGGAAGACAATAAAAGATATTTTACTAGTTATTGTGACTACTCCAAAACTGACTTGTAAGCAAAACATTTTTTCCCTTTATGAAAGTTTTATAAGAATTATGTTGGATTGGAGTTTAGGATTCACTCTTTCCATTGTAAATACTTAAAAAAAAAAAAAAAACAAACTCTTTTGACTCTCACAGTTGAGTTTATACTTGAGAGGAGCTTATTAGTGAAGCTGTTAGTGGTTATTTGAAAGAATGTAGAGATCACTTAATATTCTCTAAAGTTGGAAGATTGTTTTTTGGAAGCTATTATGTTTTGTTAAGACAGAGATAATATGTCTTGAAAGAAATCATTTTTCCTGGTAAATAATTAGAATAGAAAGTAGACCTAAAGATAGGACAGTATAATTGAAAGCGAAGCCTTTCTCTGTAGTCATCAACTTTATTTGAGATGACTCTCCTGCTTGTTCCTGATGGATGCTCTGGACATTTGGAGAAGTAGCCAGAGTCTCTCGAAGATGGTGGACATTTGCCTTTTCCTTAAAAACAAGAAAACAGTCGGTGTATAGAGAGCATAGTTTACCCTTACACATGCAGACACTTTCGTTATTGGTGTGGTAGAAAGTACCCTACCATATGCTGAGGCCAAAACTGCAAGTATTTAAGTGTCATTTCATACTTGTCCTAACTTTTTGCCCTATGGTGGTGAGAAATTTTCAGGGTTAAAGCGTGATCAAGAGATTTAATTAATAAAATATACTTTCAAGAAGGAAGCATGAGAAGATGTTAAAGTAAAATCAGTTTCTTTTTCTCTTCTAGCATTTTTGAAACGTTGGGGTTGTTGGAGTGGTTGGATTTTCCCTGGAATTGAGTGAGAAATTCAGAAGACTGAAGCCCAGGCTTACTGTCTACCTTTCACGGAGGCCTAGCCGTGAGAGGACAGAAGAAGGCACGTGGCGCATCATGACAGCTGACAAAGACAAAGACAAAGACAAAGAGAAGGATCGGGACCGAGATCGGGACCGAGAGAGAGATAAAAGAGACAAAGCCAGAGAGAGTGAGAATTCACGGCCTCGCCGGAGCTGTACCTTGGAAGGAGGCGCCAAAAACTATGCCGAGAGCGATCACAGTGAAGACGAGGACAATGACAACAACAGTGCCACGGCGGAGGAGTCCACCAAGAAGAACAAAAAGAAGCCACCGAAAAAAAAGTCTCGTTACGAAAGGACAGACACTGGAGAGATAACGTCCTATATCACTGAGGATGACGTCGTCTACAGACCAGGAGGTAAGGAGTGTTACGTTCGGGTCTTGACAGCATGATAGAGAAATGTAGATGAAACAGATGCCCCTCTGTATGGTAATGGTGGCTTGGAACCCAGAACAGTGAGTCGTAGGTTTGGGTAACAAAAATCAAGAGAGTGGACACATTAACCCACTTTTTGTCCGTTGGATTTACCCACTTCTTGCTGGTGTCTGCTTGGCTTAGTGTCCTGCCCTGGTTGTGTGTTTCTCTGCTTCTTTGTTCTGTCTGTCTGTCTGCCTGCCTGCCTGCCTGTCCGTCTCTCTCTCTCGTTTTCTCATTGTGCCTGTTCTCTTGCGTCACCATCTGCTCAAATGTTTTCATCTTTGACTTCCTCTGTGCATTTTACCTTCAACTTAAACTGGACGTGGTGACCCTGCAGAATGGAATACATGGTAGGGGCAGGTTAACCTTCAGATTTTGGAAAGAGGAAATTTTACATTGGCAACGGAAGTGACCAGGTTCGAGGGAGTTGTTGATAATGGCCTTCCCACCAAGGCGTCCTCTTCCCGATGGCCTGCTTTCCCAAGTGTTGAACTTCAGGCTCTCTAATTAGTAGTAATAGGTGAAGCCAACTATCCTGCTTTGTTTTCTAGAAAGTGTACTTCTTTGTGGATGTGTCGAGGCACATAGCATAAACTCAGAGAGAGACCGGTGCACCTTCCACATGAGATGCAGGGAGTGAGCCATTCAGAACCTGCTGGACACCAGCGCAGCCTTTCCCGAATGTCTGCATTTTGTGTGTTAATCTGCTTTTCTTGCAGAAGCCGGTCACATTTGCTAAGATCTCTTTGTTTGACTACTTACCCTGCTGAGGAGTGATAGGACTTTCATGGGCTCCAATTAGCATATTAAACGCCTCCCAGTTTGATGCTTTTCCTGGAACGGGAGGTTGTTCTGTCATTAACCTGGCACTGTAGTTTCCCCCAGTACTTGCCGCTGTCTGAACTTCTCATACGCGAGCACATTTCCTGCCCCTTCCCTCACCTCCCTGCCCCCTTTTAGTAATTAGTTTTCTGTTTCAGAAGGCGATCAGTATTAGAAATTAAGCCAATACACTTGTGTTCCTAATGACATTTTATTACTTGATGAAGATGATTCATGTGATACACAGTGATCACAGCTGATACTGTAGAGAGGTGAGGGCTCAGGTTACAGCGCTGGCAGTGACTGAGAGTGGAGGGGGGCAGTGCTGGGGCCGGGGCCTGCACCCTGCCAGGTCCTGTGGACGTTCCACTCTTAGGTTAGGAGACAGATCTTCTTGGTGCTTTCTTTTCTTTTTGGGGAATGCATTTGAGTGAAATGACTAGGTTGCCTGCTCCAAATAACTTCTTTCTCAATGGAGGATTGATAAATATTGTGTATTCCTTACGTTTCCCTCCACTGAAGAATCAGAAACAGGGTACTGTGATTAGATTTCCATGACGGGACTTGATTTTTTTTCTTTTCTTCGTCTTTCTTTCTGATCTTTTTCTTTGTTGATGCAAAGCACTAGAATAATCTCTTGTTAGAGATGAAAAACCATCCTTTTGTGGAGATCCCTACATGCTTAATATGCTTAGTTATAGCTTATATATTTAAGTAGGAAATCTATAGGATTTTATAGAGAATTTTTTCTAGAGGATATTTTTTGAATGGTAGATGATTAGTGTCCATTTGTTTCTTTAGGATATAAAGCACAGATTAGTTTTTTTTTTGTTTTTTTTTTTTTGGCTAAGTTTGTTGTCATACTGAGTGTAAATGGTAGCTACCTCCCAAAAAATTATTGCTATTTTTGAATGAGTCCAGCAATTAGTGGTACCTTGAGGATCAGAATTACTGGAAATTATGTGATTGTACTTCCTTGTCCTAGAGGGAAAAACAAGTCTGTGTTCACATTATTTGATCTCAGAAGAATGCGATTGTGTTAAGAAATTGGATATTACTTAGAATTTGTCATCAGCTGCATCTCAGGCATGGTCACAACCAGCTTTTTTTTGGTCTCTGCTCCTCATTGCTGGAATTACCTTTATTTCATCCTTACGCGTTCAGCATGATGAACTTTTAGTTATTTACACAGCCTGTTTTACCTCCTGTCTGAGGACCTTGTCTTACTCTGGTGAACCCCCTTTCTCCATCACACGCAGACGTACTTCATTCTCACCCTGTTTTCAGCTCTCCCCTCCTAGTGTCATTCCTTCCTGCGCTGGATTACCCTAATAGGTCTTGTCATGGCATGATGTATGTTTCTGCTTGTCCTTACAGTAGTAATACTTTCTGTTAATCTCTGTTATTACCGTAGGATGAGTGCCTTGCTCCTTCCTCCATAACGACAGCAATGCTGTGTTTGCTTATTGAGTTCCTGGCATCTGCACCAATAGTGTGTATTCCACAGTATTTGCTGAATACGTTTTTGAACACCTTTCAAAAATTTAACAGATTTATCACCTGATTAATGAAGTAAAATAGAATTATTCTCCTGGAAGTCTGTCTTGAGTCATTTATTGCCCAGTGCATGATTTCATAGACTTGTTATCAAATGCAACACCAAACAAAAGGCGTGTGGGCTCTGCTGTACACCGGCCTGCGGCTCGTGTCTAATCTGCCTTCTTTGTTGTCTGTTGGCTGATACTCTACTTTTGAGATGACTGTCACGGTGACAAATTGATTTATTACACAGCCATGTGCAGCCAGATTTCCCTTATGGGCATCTTTGGCATAGAATATTGATTTCTAAAGTTTGCTGTGGGTGGCATATTCACATATTCCTCTATTAATTTCTTTCCACTATCCCTCCCACCCCCCAGCCATGTTGAGGTAGAATCGATGGTTTACATTGTTTCAGGTGTACAATGCAGTGATTTTATATATGTATGTATATTACAAAATGATTTCCACACTAGGTTTGCTCACCTTACATAGTTAGATATTTTTTTGCTGTGGTGAGAGTACTCTTAAGATTTATTTGATTAGTTACTTTCAGATACACTCTGCAGTAACTACAGGTGCCCGGGACACTGCTATTCTAAAGTTAGTTTTACCCAAAACAAACAAAAAAATGTCCAGTGAAACATGTTCTCCAGACACTGGCGCTCCAGGCATTGGCCACACATTAGCATCCTGTGAGAGTGGGTTGGAAAAATAAACCTTAAAAAAATTGCAGAATTGCAGCTTCCACCCAGATGACTGAAATGGAGCTTTTGTTTAATAAGATCTTAGGTGATTTATTTTTTTTTAAACTTTTTATTTTTTTAAGATTTATTTTTTTAATGCATACAAGAGTTGGGGCACAGGCCAGAAGGGTGGGGTGGGGTGTTGAAAGGACTCACCAGAGACAGAATGGGGAGCAGAACAGGCAGATCTACTGAAATACACTGCTGAGGGGAGAAGTGGGGAGACAGGAGAGGTCTGCTGCGCCATGTGGATAGCTTCCTGGCCAGGGATTGAACTCGTGCTGCAGTGGCTGCAGAGAGCTTCATAGATTGCACCACCAGGGAGGCCCAGATCTTAGGTGATTTAAATACACATTGAAGTTTGAGAATCACACCTAGACCAGTGCTTCCCAGTTTCTTCCCCGCAAGTTAAAGCTCAACTTGGAGACATTGTCATCCCTTGAGGGTGAGAGGCCCCACACCCCAGCAGCTGCCCTTAGCCCCTGGTGGACTAGGGCACAGGCCCAGGAAGGGGAGGAAGACGCAGGCTTCTGTTGCTTGAGGGTTTGTGTGGGCGAGTGCAGTTCACGCTGCAGTGGTAGGATCTGGACAGGCAGATCTAGGAGCGAATTCCGACCAGCTGGGAACTCTCTAGATCTTCTAAAGTGCCTTATTGCCAGGTGGGGGGGCTGTGGCCTTGAGTGGAAGTAGGCCTGCGCAGGTGAGGAAGCTGGGGCCCAGGACCGAAACTCCCTAGTGTTTTAAAAGTGCCGGCTCTGTTCTGTGCTGGACCTGCTTTATACCCGCCGTTGCTGGTCTTCACAAAGTCCCTTGACAGACCAGTCACTGCCTCTTTACGCAGGTCAGGAAATGGAGGCTTGAAGGCTCAGGGCACACGGCTGCTTTGTAAGGTGGCACAGGCACGTGAGAATTGGCTAACGCCAAGGACTTTGCTTAAAAACTAAGAATAATACAAAAAGCAAACACACCCATGTTGAAAGAAAAAGAAGAAATAGGCCCATTTCTTGGAAAATGATGTAATTACTTTCCTTACTTTTCTCCCCTCCTGATTTCTAAAATTAGTTGCAACTTGCCTGCTTTTGGAAATTATCTCATACTTCCTATATATATATACACACACAGGAGGAGTGTTAAAAAGATAGATGCATAAGAATTACGGGAAGTAAGCTGAGTGGGGAGAGGTAAATTATACCAGAATTTTTAGTCTGATGTTAATTACTGGCTTTGAACCTTCAATTCAGCAGCTGAGAGGGCAGATACATTGTTTTTGTGATCTAATAAAAGTGAGCATATTATACTCACTAATGCTAGCTGGAGGGTGTTGGCCAAAATTAACTTGGTAAGTTAACTCAAAGAATGGGTGGAAGGCAGATCTGATTTTTGATCAGTGGGAAGGGCTGACCATCCTCTTTGGGCGCAGCCTCTGGAGTCGGTGCCTCTTGGTGTGGTCCTTGCTGTCACCCAGCTCGAGTTAGTCCCAGAAGAGTGCGCTCAGTTGGTCAAGCTTGAATTACATGTCTAGGTCTTAGATTCGAAACGACGGAAATCTTGATTTATTCCCCCTGAAACTGTACATAGTTGGCTAAGGTAATTCCCTGCCGTGAAATTAGGGAGCTGTTCAGTAGGAAAAATAGATGAGAAATGGCAGAAAAAGGACCCATGTGGAGCCACGATATACTAGTCATGAAGAGACTCATGTGGTACACTCGACTCAGGGAGGCCTTGTCAGCGCGTGGACGTGTGCGAGTAGTGTTTTTGCTGTGTGTGCGATGGGCAAAAAGAGGAATTGTCACTGGCCAAGGGAAAGTGTCCGGGGCCCCTCCGCCCACTTGC